AGAGTAATAGCGTTGGGGTCAAGCAGCTACTTAGAGGCTGCTTTCTTGTGCAAGTTACTGACTTAGTTCTCTCATCTCCAAATGGAAACTATTGCAGCCAGACCTCATGGCATTGCTTTGGGGATTGGGAACACATGCAAAGCACCTTAATAATCTTAAGTATTCAACAAATGGTTAATTATTCTTCTTAGTAAGTTAAATCAGTTTGAGAAACTACGACCATTTTATCTTCTCAGATATATGTGAGACTGCCAAAAATACTTATCTTTGCCCAAATGGTGTGGCTCAGTGGTAACCAAGAGGTCACAGTTCAGATTCTGGGGTCAGGGCACATGCCTGTGTTGTGGGCTAACTCCCCATTTAGTAATACTGTAATAATAATTGTATGGTGTCAGATGGATACTAGGACTTATGGGGAGGGGTCATTTCTTTAATTATATACATTTCTAATCCCTATACTATACACCTGAAACAAACCTATAATAATAAAGCGTAATATGCTTATTAGACCAGACAGCAGAATGGCCTTTCGGACATCCTTCCAGATGAAGTTGGGGCTGCGAGGGCTGAGGCCCTTATACCAATTTCGTGCATCCAGACCTCTAATACAAAATAGTACTGAATGACAACTGTAATTGATAAAAACTTCTTTAATTTAAAAGGGGGAGAGAAATCAACAACAAAAAAGTGCTATGAAGAAGAAATCTACTTAAAATTATGAATAAACTTTTTGTATTAACTGCATCAAGTAAGGTTCCATAACTAATTTTTTTTTCAAATTTTTTCAAATTTTTATTTTAGAGAGGAAGGGAGAGGGAGAAGCATCAATGTGAGAGAGAAACTTAGATCAATAGCCTCCTGTAAGCAGCCAAACCAGGGATGGAACATTACCTTGGCTATGTGGCTGGCTGGGCGTGAACCTGCAACCTTTTGATGCACTTTACTACACAGGACAATGCTCCAATAGAGCCACACCAGCCAGGGCAATATTCACATTTTAAAATCACTGATATTTTAGTAAATGAAGTGTATGATAAATCATAATGTTTAACATACTTGTATAGTCAACACTTTAAAGTTAGGGTTCTTATATCCATAATGGGCCTCATAAGCCCCAAAACTGTTTATACAGTATAGGTTTTCTACAAGAATCCATAGCTTTTATCACATTTACAAATAAGTCTTGACCAAAAGGTTTAGTGTCATGATCCTAAAATCACATTCTGGCTACTTATTGATAAAGTAAAATTTTCATTTACCAAAGGTGGTTTTTTTTTGTTTGTTTGTTTGTTTTATGGAATGCTTCTTGAATTTGTGCCATACTTCATAGGGGCCATACCAATCTTCTCTATCCAATTTTAGTACGTGTGCTGCCAAAGCAAGCAGCAAACTAGATTCTAAATTCTTAAAACATGCTAAATTCACTTAGTCCAGAAACAGGCAGACTCTTATTTTCCAAACACTGAATACCTATTAAGAGCTTAGGCATCTGAGCTAAAATGTCCTTCCAGAAGTCTGGGCTGCCTGCCCTTTACATCAAGATGTCAGACTTTCGGCACACAACAAATATTTTTGCAGTCCACCCAATATAACAGTATGTAAGAAACACTGTAATAAAAATTTAAAAACTTAATTTTTACAACAATAATAATAATAAACTACAACATTCCCTTATGACTGATTACTATAACAGTGTTGCATTCATTTCCCTTATGCACAGGCCCACCATTTCTCTCCACTAATACTAACAGCGAATATTTTAGCAGCCAATTGCCAAGTCATTAGTCTTGTATTGACTTGTTTGGTGTGTCCAACAGGAAATATTTCGCTTTTGGAGAACAAGAAAAATAGGTTTATTTGCGTTAGACTTATTATAATAATTTGTGCAGTTATTCAGTGTCTGATAAGTTAATGTTGAAGAAAAAATTTTAATTTTTATTAAAATGTTCTATTATTTTATGTTAATGACTCATTTATTTCAGCCCTTTGTATTCAGCATGTCTCTATCAAAATAAACCTATGTTCCTATGAAAATTGAAGCTTTTTTTTTTTTTTTTGCAGTCCACGTAAACTTAATCCTTGTTCATTTGGCCTGTGTTAGCCTTTGAATTTGACATGCTCGTTTTACATAAACTTACATACTCATAAAGTAGCTCAGAAAGCTTTATTTTTAAAAGCCTTTATTCACATGCCATCTTATGGTTGTATTCATTTAATTTTTGTCAAACTTCCATACAAGTAACAAGAACTATTTCCTTCAGAATCATCATTCAGTTTGACTTATCAATACAAATCAGAATTAGAATACTGGCTACTTACTAAAGATTTACTTCACTTTCAAATACTCTGGTTGAATATTAATGCAATTAGCTGATGAAGCTGGCTGAATATTACATTATCATTCATCAAACTCTCCGATAGTATTCTGATTCATTGGACAGAGCATCTGCAGTATTTTTAGCAATGAATGGCTCCTGAAATTGACAAGATGTTTTTAGATATAACTGAAGTTAACCTAATTCTAATGTAAGATCCTTGTTTTATATCCTGACCTACACAAACAATGCACCAAAATTTTAAACAGCCAAACACTAGGCCATCCTTGGCAAAAGGACCATTTTCTTTCTCAGAGCAGGTACATAAGATGCTCTTGATGAAACTATCTAAATCCTGAATTTTTAAAAAAATATATATTTTATTGATTTTCCACAGAGAGGAAGAGAGAGGAATAGAGTTAGAAACATCGATGAGAAAGAAACATGGATCAGCTGCCTCCTGCACAACCCCCACTGGGGATGTGGCTGCAACCAAGATACCTTGACCGGAATCGAACCTGTGACCTTTCAGTCTGCAGGCCGATGCTCTATCCACTGAGCCAAACCGGTTTCAACAATATCTGCCATTTTAAAAGATCCTCTAAAATCTCTTAAAATATTCATAGAAAAGCAAAGTAATACTTAAAAGTGTAGCTGTCTGTTGCCTTCAATCTTAGACCTAGAAAAGAACCTTAAAAAATTACTTGATGCAATTTCCTCCTATCCGAAAAGAGGTTGTGAAGGGAACATTTTTTACTAATACAAAACTGCACATACTCATCAGGAAAAAGTTAATTTTTGAAAATTCCCAGTCTCTTCAGTAGCCATTAACCCCATTAACTATTGCGCACCTGGAAATGCAACTAGCCCAAAGTGAGATGTGCTGAATTGCCAAATACACTCCAGATTCCAAAGACTTAGTATTAAAAAAAAAAAAAAAAGTGGTGGCTCTCATTTATCTGGTCATTTAACGAAGTGCACCCACACAGGCAAAGAGCATGCAGTTGACTAGACCGCCTTTACTCCAGTCAGGTCACATGAGGCAGTATTGACAACTCATTACTAGAACTGGGGATCTGGATTCTTCAATTCTCACCTAGCCATTGGAAATAGTAATTGGCAATTAATATTCTAGGGTGGAGAACATCCTTTACTATCTAAAAGCTTTTCAGACTATTAAAATATTAAAGAGATTATAAAAGCATGTTGTGCTAGTCACTGATGACAAATTTCCTCCATACCTGAAAACGAACTTGAGGGGAACATAAACATACTCCACCAAATATAAATAAACAGAACTGCTATTAAAAATACCCTTTAAAATATCGGGTCTAGTAATAATTAATGTCGTTTTTAAACATTCGTTTAAAATCTTGCTTGGTGTTGACTTGTATTGACATAACCTTCAAACACGTGGTATCTACAGAACATGTGAAGTGCAATTAACAAGTTTTGCTTGAAAAAGTTTGTGTTTGGTTTGGTTTTTGTTGCAAAACTAGGGCTAAGAAGATGGCGGATGAAGAGCATATTCGGCACTGCATGCTTTACGAGTTCCAATTAGGAAGAAAAGCAAGTGAGGCTGCAAAAAACATCTGTAGTGCTCTTGGTCAAGATGCAGTTAGCGCCAGAAAATGCCAGCGTTGGTTTGAGAAATTTCACGAGGGAAATTTTTCGTTAGATGACAAGAGTGGTTGAGGCCGTGTGTCCAATTTTGATCAAGAAGCTCTTCAAGCTCTTTTGGTGCAAAATCCTCAAATTACCCAACAAGAGCTTGTGACAACTTTAAATTGTTCACAAAAAACAATTTCCAATCAATTGCGTGCACTTGGCAAAGTCCAAAAGTTTGGAAAATGGGTTCCTCATGAGTTGACAGACAACAACCGTAATCAAAGAGTCACAATTTGCAGTTCGCTCCTCTCTCATCAAAACCGTTTGCCGTTTTTAGAGCAAATTGTTACCTGAGATGAAGAATGGGTGCTGTATGTTAATTTGAAAAGGTGGCCTCAATGGTTGGACAAAAATGAGGCTCCGCAGCCCACGCCAAAACCTGACTTGCATGTGAAAAAAGTGATGTTGTGTGTTTGGTGGAATTTTAAAGGAATTCTTCATTATGAACTTTTACCATCTAACCAAACCATTACAAGTGCAATGTATAGTGCCCAATTGGAAAGGTTAGCCCAAGCTTTAAGAGAAAAAGAACCCGCGCTGATTAATCGGAAGGGCGTAATTCTTCACCACGATAACGCACGACCGCATACTGCAAGAATCCCTGCTGAAAAACTGCGCCAGTTGGAATGGGAAGTCCTCCCTCAACCTGCATATTCTCCTGATGTTGCCCCTTCCGATTACCATTTGTTTCGTTCTTTGCAAAACTTTCTTCTTGGAAAAAAATTTAATAATGAAGAATGCCTCAAAAATGCATTGACCGAATTTTTTGCATCAAAAGCACAAGAATTTTACAACAGAGGGATTAAAATGCTTCCTGAGTGTTGGGCACAAGTAGTAGAAAACAACGGCAACTATATTGTTGATTAAATTTTGTTGTATTGTTTAAATAAAAGTATTAGAAAACGACATTAATTATTACTAGACCTAATAACTTTTTCACTTTTTTTGACGCTGTCAGAAAGATATTTTGCAGAAATACACGACTACAGCTGAACCAACGAATATTTTATATTTTTAAAAAATTCTGATGATTAATTTGATTTAATGACTCAACGAATCTACAGTTTGAAACATTGGTCTATATTTCTAACAAGTCTGAACTAAATGATTTACAAACTTTCTCTTTACTACACTTGCAAAATTCCCTAATCTCTCAAATTCAAGTTTCAATTTTGTGAAGAGGAAAATATCCTCTAGCTGTGATTGCAAAATAACTATCCAAAAAGGGTTCATTTCCCACATAAACTATAATTGTACACTAATGACACGTTTTAAAATGCTACTTAATCGTAACTTAATTTAAAAGGGGTCTTACGATCAAAAAGCTCAAAAGTTTAAAAACAGTACTTTTAACAACTGTGTATAAACATCCTGACTAAACCACTCAAAATAACTTACAAGTTTAGATGTACTGTATTTACTTCCTTAATTATGCATATTCCCTGAACCTGACAGCCTTACAGCAAAAAACCTGGATATAAACAATCGTGTCCTAAAATACATAATTTTACTTTTCCAAGATTTCCAGGTCAATATAAACAAACGCAGAGGACTGCTAAATGAGGTTTTAACTTAGGAATTCAGTGCCAAGAACACAGTACTTATAAGTAAAATTTTACAAAGTAAACTCATCCAGTCTCCTAATTACTTCAAGAATTTAACACTCACTGTGCCCAATGCTTCCTTCTCGTTTGCCAACACTCTCGTAAATAAGTTTATTAAAACACACCCTCATCTCTGACACACAGGGCACGGGTCCAGGCCCTACTGTAAAAGTTGGGCAGAAGGACATTGCCGGCCAAGGACACAAAGGTTACATATTCCTCGCATCGGGGCCCGCCGGGGACGTGTACGGGCAATCTGCACCCAGGAGTGCAGCCACGGCTCAGGGCTGCGGCCGCTGGCGGTGGCCCAGGGCGCCAGGCAACCCTCCCCGCGACCCCGTTTACTCCGCCCGACCCCTCCCCGCCAAGGACGGCCGGCGGCACGGCTGCGCCGGGCCGAGTGGACTGGGAGCGGGGAGCCGGGGCTGGGGCGGCCGGCCCGCACGCCCGCCCGCGTAGGGGGCCCCCCACCCCCGCACTTCCTGCCTTCCCTCCCGCAGCCCGGCCAAGGCCAAGGTCTCACCGGCCCACAAACTTGATGGCGGAAGTGACGTGAGGGGACCTGGCGACTCCAGTAGCCAGTCGCGCTACAGCGGGAGGAAGCGCCGGCCAATGGGCTACGACCGGGGGCCGGACTTCCCGCCAAGCTGGAAGCGGCGGGGGGAAGGGCGGGGGAAGAATGTGAAGAATGACCCCTCCCCCGGCCGCGAGGCGCTGGGCGGGAAGCGGAGGGGGCTGGGGCCAGCGGCCGCGCCACGCGGCGCCCATCCCCCGCCCGCACCGCCGGCACCCGCGGTCCCCCTCGAGGCCGGCCCGCCCGCCCCAGCCCCCGGGCCTCTTCCGGCCGGCCCAACGCCCTTTCTCCCACCGCCCCAGGGAGTCAAGCGGAGGAAAATGGCGACGGGCCCGCGCGCGCCGTCCCTTTACCCTGCTGACCTGGGGCTCGCAGAAAAGGCCACCGCCTGCAGCTTCCCTTCGCGGAGTCGGCCCGGCCTTCGTTCCCGCCGCCACCCGCCATCCCCCGGGAGTGGCGCGCGAGGACGCAAACGGGAGCGCAGGCGGAGGGCCGCGGCGGCCTGAGGAAAAGCTGCGCGGGCGCCGGGAAGGCCGAGGCGGGCGCGGACCCGAGCGCAGCGCGCGAGCCCATTGGCTGGGCCGCCTGATTGACGTTCGCCTCACCCTTTCGCCTGGGCGGAAACGGGCGCCCGGACCCCACTGGAGGGCGGTGGCTGGGCCCGCCCTGTGCGGGGCGGTCACTCGGTTTCCTATTGAACTGCCGGCGGGTGGTGGGCGGTGCTTCTCCCCCCCTCCTCCTCTCCCCCCTCCTCTTCTTCCCCCTCCTCTTCTCCCCCCACCTCCCCTCAGCGGGACGGGCGGTGCCGTCACGTGGCGGCCGAGGGCGCGCTGGGCCGCAGCGCTGGGGTTCCGCACGGGGTGGGGGCCGCTGTGCCCCACAGCTTCCCAAGCTGTAGGTGAACTTGGCATTTCACCGACTGCCTCAGGATTGAGTGCATCTTTTCATGGCAATCTTTAATTTTCCTATTTTCAGAATCAATCGAGCGGAAGAACAAATGGGTGATTTTCTCTCCCTCCTCTTTCCTCCTCTCTTTTTCTCTCTGGAATTAATAAATACATAAATTTTCAATTAACCTGAAACATAGATCCTGTATGCCCATTAGGACTTTTCCAAACTGGAGCCCCAGAGAGCGGAGAGCGCTGGGTAGGTCTGTGTCTGAAGACCCCGCCCCCACTTGGGCTCCCTGTTTTCACTAACTCGCTATAACTTTGTGCACAATATTTCTAAGAGTAAAAACATTAGCATCCTCATGGGTGACATGTTTTTGACGGACTTAGAGTGTACCCATTGCATTTACATTTATGATCTCACTTGTATGAGTACTTGCAATAAATGCCAGAAAAGTTAGGGTGCAGAGTTACTTTGTGGGCTGAAGTGAACAAGAAAGAAAAGAAGCTTGGCCTGAAAAAAAAGGGGGGGGGGGATAGAAGGAGGGCTTTTAACTTTAAAAGACCGACAAATGGGAAAAACAATTTTGTAAAATCTATTACAGACAAAAATATGAATGAAAATGTCTAGTAGTTAAGAACAAAGATCTGCAACCAGACTGCTGAGTTTGAACCCCAGTTTTGCCTTTTCTGCATTGCACAACTATACAACACCAGAAGCCTGGTGCACATCATAGCCAGCAGTTGAGTGGCCGAAACATATCATTAGCATATTATGCTTTGATTGGTTGAATGGATGACCCAACACTTTGCATATTAGGTTTTTATTATATAGAATTTAGCATATTGCTTAATCTTCTGTGTCTCAAGTTCTCATATATAATAATGAGATTATACCACTTACCTTATAGAATTGTTGTAAGAATTAAATATTATAAGTACTTAGAACAGTGCTTAGTGCATATATGCACTACATGAGTATTTGCTAATACTTAAATATATACAGTACATTTTTTCAAATGAGTAGGAGAGAGTATAGACTAAGGATGTAAACTGGCAATTCATAAAATAAATAAAAATGGCCAACAAATACGTAAAGATGTTGATCCTCATAAGCAAGTAAATGCAAATTACAGCTATCTTCAAGTTTATGACAAATCATCAAAACATGCCCTGAAAAACTATGATGGTGGTGTAAACCTATAGTTATAAATATGCCAAGACTGTCAGGGTTATATTGTTATTTGAGAAATAAGGTTACAAAGTAATGTGTATGATATGACCCCATAAATCTTAAACAATAGTTAGCTATAGAATTACTCATGATGTTTGCCTTTACACATTTCTGGGTTCTTAGCATGTATTGCTTTCATAATAAAAAAAAATATATAAATACAAAAGCTATGCCAGAAATAGTTGTTCCTGTCAACCAAATGTTGCCACCAATTCAATGCCAACAGGAAGAAGAAATTTGGGAGACAGTGAAGAGGAAAATTTGATCTGGTGCAACAGCTCAGCAGGGATACAGTATGGCTGTGAATACAGCACTGCTAAGGAACAGCATAAAAGTGCCACAGCAAAACTGCATGGCTGTGGAACTCCTGTAGCAAGCAGTTTTGGGTGGCTCTGCTCTCCCAGCTAAACTGTTCTCAAGCTCTGGTGGAAAGTGTGCTCCTCCAGCTGCAGGGGAACTGTCTTATATGGACAGATGCTCCTACCTCTGATTCCTGATTGGTCTATCCTCATGCAAATGAGGACATCAAATCTTCACAGTTTTATTGGCCCAAAAGGCACTGTCTTGATTGGTTAGAATAGAGCTTTCCTGATTGGTCAGAATAGAGGAGCTCTGATTGGACCAGAGCTCCACAGCTCCCGTTGGACAGGAAAAGCCTCAATACTATTGGTTGAAATGGGATTCCAGGAAACCTTTATAAGGAGCCACTAGCAGACATACAGAGCAAGCAGGCAGTTTAGCACAGAGGCTCCCTCTAAGTATGGTTTGCATAAGAGGCCCTTGTGCAGAAATTGCTGGTAGGCTCTGGTTTGTTTGTTTTTAATTTGAGCCCAGTTAGCCCTCCAGAGCCCTGTTTAGCAGGTGTCCTTAATTTTTCACATTCCCCAATATCCATTGCCTCCCTTTTCTGTAGTAAATAGAAACCCAGTTTTTAGGTGATAGCAGAACTAGAGTGCCTTCGGGTGTAGCTATGTGGCTAAGTTCTGGCTGCTGAGATGTGAGCAGGAGAATGGACTGGGTTTCTGGGTTCCGCCCTCCAAAGGGAGGGTTTGTCCTTTCTCTCCCCCTTTCTGATTTCCAGCTGCTTGGGTGGGGATGGGGTGTGGTAGAAAGACACATGGAGGGGAACCCCATTCCCCCGCTGTCATCATGATGCTTGTACTTTAAGTGAGATAGACATGACTTACCTCATTTTGAAAGGGGGCAGCAATAGAATTTGGGGAGCCAGCTGGTATTATGAGAAATATGAATCATGCTGTGTTAATAGGACTGTTTTATTCTGATCACAGAAGGCACATTCTGCCCTGGCTGGAGCGCACGGGGAGACACAGCCCTTCCTCCCCATTGGGAGCTGCCCGTTATCATGGGAAGATGAACAGCTTTGCTGCAGAAACCAGAACCGCCAGCCCTTTGCACACCTGCAGGCCTCTGCAGCCCTCCAGCCTGCTCACCTGTGAACCGCCCACCTGGCACTCCCCTGGCTATTTCCCCTGTAACCCCAGCCCTTGCACATCACTCAGCCCTTTGAAGACCCCCAGTCCTTTTGCATGTCTGTAAACTGCCTTTTGCCTGCTTTTCCTTTGTGCTTTTACTGTTTAAGCAGCTGGCTTATGGCGGGTGCGGAGCAGATTCCTGAGGCTGACCTGCTGCTCTCCCCATGCTGCAGGCAGGACTGGGATAAACGCTCATGTATGACCCAACCCAGTCTCGGCTTCATTGGCTCGAGTAGTGAGTGACAGGCAGCACAGACCCACTGATTGTCCGGTTACAATTTAAGCCCCTGGAATTTCGGAATACTTCCACCGAAAGCGAGCCTGATGGGTGGGGCATGCCCACACAGTGTGCTCTCCTCCTGCGTGTGGGTTCTTGGGAGATGAAAAGGGCATTCCGTGGGAAGAGCACTGCTTTTGGAACGAAGCAAACAAGGAACAGTGCTGAAGTCCCACTCCTGTTCGGAGATGCGCTCTGGGGCAGGCCCTGTGTTCAGTGAGATCACAGTGGGGGAGTGATTTGGAACTGCTGAGTGATGCGCAGACCTGGTGTCATTACTGATCATTATTCTCAGAGGCAGGAAGAGCATGAATTTGTATCCCTGCTCCCGACCGAGGGGGCAAACTGCTGCCCAGGCAAGCCAGCCCATGGTAATCCTTAGAGTCAAGTCCAAGCCTGTCCAGAAACCTGCCCTCAGTCTCCCCCTCCACTCCCAATGCTTGTGGGGGCACAGTCCACTCACTCACTGCTCAAGCCTCCTGCAATGTTCGTCCCCATGTTGGCCAGCGGGTCCTGGCCATTCAGGTGGCATTTACACTTAGCCGGCTCAGGAAGTCCTTTCCTGACCACCCAGCCAACCAACCCCATCCCTATCTCACCTCCCTCTTTTTATAACCCCTCAGCATGTTCACACTCTGAACCCATCTTGCTTCTTTTATTGTTTGCCCACCAAGAAAGCAAGAACCTTGTCTGTGTTTTCCCAGCCATGTCTCCATCTCCTACGACAGGGCTCCGAAGCTCAATAAGCATCTTTTCAAAGAAGCGTGGAATTAAAAGCCAAGAGACCAGGGCAGTTTGTAGATGGGTTTAGCTCCAAGGATACAAACGGGAAGAGGAAGCAAGCAGGAGTCCACTCCTGAAGGCAGTGACCAGCAGAGAGAGTGAAAAGGCAGAGGGAATACCAGCTAGTCCGGCCAGGAAGGGACAGAGACGCTGAACCCCGAGAAGACGCCAAACTGCTCTGCTGAGGTTCCAAGAGTAGCCCAGCTCCAAAGGCCCCCAGAGACCCAGTGTCCCTGCGGCCGTGCCATCTCAGACCACACTTTATGTCCACGCCTCTCTGCAGGCATCCTCAGGACAAAACCCTCCCTCCACCTTTGTGTTCCTGAAGCCCAAATAAATCAGACAAAGCAAGCACACTCCTGGCAGCCCCCTACCAGGTGGCATTGGGGCTCTGTGCAAGGCTGCTCCCTGAGTCAGCGCTTTGCCCCAGGTGAGCAGTTAGCCCCAGGCTCCCCGTTCTTCACAGCTCAGACTCCCTGCCCACAAACCTGGGTGCCCACCGCGCCTTAGAGCAGAGCATGGGTGGGTAAGTCCGGATGAGGGTGCTGGGCAGGGCCTCCTGAGGTCTCACTCTGAGGCAGGTCCCGGAAAAGGCACACATCCCTGGACACCACCGAGGCTGCAAACTGGTGATGGCCTGGAGTGCCCATCTGTTATGTCCTTGCAATGTTGTAAGTCTATTTTTAATTAGCTGACAACTTTCAAAAGAAGTAAGACATTTAATGTTTTAATAAAATGGGTTTCTTGCTTTTCTAAAAAACAAACAAAAAACGTGGAACCTCTGGCTACACTCAGCCTGTATTCCAACAGGACAACAT